GACGATATGTGCCAACTATAGAGGAATAAGTCTCCTTCCCATCGCATATAAAGTGCTATCCAGTGTGCTGTGTGAACGATTGAAGCCAATGGTCAATGACATCATCGGACCATACCAATGCGGCTTCAGACCTGGCAAATCGACCATTGACCAGATTTTCACTCTGCGCCAAATCCTGGAAAAGACCCACGAAAAACACATCGACACATATCACCTATTTGTCGACTATAAAGCCGCATTCGACAGCCCTATCCGTTCAGAGGTGTTTAAAGCCATGTCTGCGTTCGGCATTCCTGCAAAATTAATACGGCTATGCAGGATAACTTTAAGTGGCACAAGGTCAGCCGTTAAAGTAGGAAAGGACCTATCGGAGCCCTTCACTACCGAACGAGGATTCAGACAAGGTGACAGTTTGTCGTGTGATCTTTTTAACATCCTACTGGAAAAGGTCATACGAAACGCAAAGGTGAACAGAAATGACACTCTGTACACCAAACAACACCAGTTACTCGCCTACGCCGATGACATCGATATAATGGGTCGAACATTGCGAGCGGTAACAGCCACCTTTGAACAAATTGAAAAGGAGTCTGCCAAAGTGGGTCTGGCAGTAAACGGCGAGAAGACCAAGCTGATGGTATCAACGCGCAAGACGTCCTGTAGACTCGGACCAACTGTGGAACTTGAGAACTACAGCTTCGAGGTAGTTAAAGACTTTATATACCTTGGTACCGCCATAAATAAAACGAATGATATCAGTTTTGAAATTCGGAGAAGGATTGTGATGGCCAACAGATGCTACTATGGTCTAAGTAAACAGTTTAGAAACAAGGCCACCTCTCGCCAGACCAAACTCACACTTTACAAGACGCTGATACTACCCGTGCTATTATATGGATCAGAAGCATGGGTACTTGCGCAAGCAGATGAGGCAGCGCTTGGGGTGTTTGAGAGAAAAATTCTCCGAAAGATCTACGGGCCGATCTGCGTCGACGGTGAATATCGGCGTCGAATGAACCACGAGCTCTACAATTTATACGCAGACATCGACATAGTCAGTCGTATTGAGCTGCAGCGACTACGGTGGCTAGGCCATGTTGTGCGGATGAATGAAGAAGCCCCAGCTCAAAAGGCATATAAAAATGAGCCTACGGATGGTTCCCGTAGAAGGGGAAGGCCACGAATTAGATGGAAAGACCAAGTAGAAAACAACATCTTGGAACGTGGTCTTCCAAATTGGTGGACTTGCGCACAAGACCGGCGCGCTTGGAAATCTTTTTTAAGCTCGGCTTATGGAACAACCGTTCTGTAACAAGCCAGCTAAGTAAGTAAGTAAGTAATTCAAACATTGTGTGGCGTATTAAAACCAAATAGAGCCTTTAGATAATCAGAATTTCAACCAGACTGATAGCGATGACAATTACCCGGCTATGACTATGGTGCCGAATGTGCCCCATCAAATGCCGAAGCTACCCCGGGTTGGGGCACATTCGGCGAATTTGACTTTTTTACAAAACTGTAAAATTTTTTAACTAATACTATTTTTATATATCTTTTTGGTACTATTTTTCATAATTAAGTGTCAGAGGACAATAATCAGCCATATAGTTGTTATATATGTTGAATATGTACTGAGATATAGAGCTCTAAAAAAAAAGTGCCGAAGGTGCCCCAGTCTCCCCTACTCCTTCTGGTACCTACCCCAAAAAAGACTCATACTTTCAAAATGTGTAAATACCTTATAATGTAAACTAACCTACCTGCTTGACGAAAGCACTCCTTGCCCTGATAATAATATAGAAGCCCAATGGCAAAGAATTACCCACTCCCTACAAAGTGCAGCAAAAGCAACGCTTGGATACCAAAGACTACCCGTCGTACGATCAGGAGTGTCGTAATGCTACTGAGTTAAAAAAAAAACGCAGCGTATAGGGCAACCCTGCAAACAGTAACAACACACAATGCAAGAGAGAATTATTGGGAGAAAATGAGAGAGGAGAAACGTATTTTCAGAAAAAAAGAAGAAATAACAAGAAAAATGTGGGCGTGAGCAAATCGAGATGTGCAGGACTCAGAATGAAGTCTAGAAATTTTACAAAAGAGTAAAAAATGAAGGCTTTGGTGCAAGCACGTCCTCCTGTAGAAATGAAGAAGGAAACCTGGCGACAGATACAGACAGCGTGTTGAGGATCTGGAAGGAGCATCTTGCAAAGCTTCTGGTATCAAATAACGGTGAAGAAGATACCCCTGAACCAATAAGATATGACGGTATAGATTGTATACCACCTAGCCATGGGAGATGAGACCAGAATAGCAATTAATCGGCTGAAGAATTATAACGAAGCAGGTGCCGATTTATTACCAGCCGAACTACTCAAGGCCAGTGGTCAGACGCTGATCAGGAGCATGCACCAACTGATTAATACAATTTGGCTAGAGGAATGCATGCTCAATGATTGGAACCTCAGCATCCTGTGTCCCGTGCACAAAAAAGGAGTCAGACCATATATGCCAACTATGGAGGAATTAGTCTCCTTTCTATCGCATATAAAGTGCTATCCAGCGTGCTGTGTAAGCGATTGAAGCCAAGAGCCAATGACATTATTGGACCATACGAATGCGGCTTCAGACCTGGCAAAACCACCATTGGTCAGATTTTCACTCTGCGCCAATTCCTGGAAAAGACCCACATCGACACATTCCACCTATTCGCCGACTTTAAAGCCGCATTTGACAGTCCTATCCGTTCAGAAGTGTTTAAAGCCATGTCTGCGTTTGGCATTCCTGCAAAATTAATACGGCTATGTAGGATAACTTTGAGTGACACAAGGTCAGCAGTGAAAGTTGGAAAGGACCTCTCGGAACCCTTTAATACCGAACGACGATTCAGACAAGGTGACAGTTTGTCGTTTGACCTTTTTAACATCCTGCTGGAAAAGGTCATAGGAAACAATGGTGAACAGAAATGGCGCTCCGTACACCAAACAACACATGGGTCCAACAATGCGAGCGATAACAGCCACCATTGAATAAACTGAGAAGGAGTCTGCCAAAGTGGATCTGCAGTAAAAGGCGCAAAGACCAAGCTGATGGTAACAACGCGCAAGACGTCCAGTAGACTCGGACCAACTGTGGAACTTGAGAACTACATCTTCGAGGTAGTCAAAGATTTTACATACCTTGGTACCGCCATAAATAAAACTAATGACATCAGTTTTGAAATTCGGAGAAAGATAGTGTTGGCGAACAGATGCTACTATGGTCTGAGCAAGTAACTCAAAAGCAAGGCCACCTCTCGGCAGACCAAACTTACACTCTACAAGACGCTGATACTACCCGTGCAGTTATATGGATCTGAAGCATGGATACTTACGCAAGCAGAAGAAGCAGCTCTTGGAGTGTTTGAGAGAAAAATTCTCCGAAAGATATATGGGCCGATATGCGTTGACGGTGAATATCGCCATCGAATGAACCATGAGTTGTAGCTGCAGCGGCTACGTTGACTAGGTCATGTTGTGAGAATGGATGAAGATCCCCCAGTTCAAAGAGCATATAAAAGCGAACCAGTTGATGGTTCACGCAGAAAGGGGAAGGCCACGAATGGTCTTTCAAATTGGAAAAATTGTGCAAAAGACCGGAATTTTTTTTTAAGCTGGGCTTATGGCACGAAAGTTCTGTCACAAGCCAGCTAAGTAAAGTCCGATTTTAGGTAAACAAATTGGGCTCATCGTACTGAAGTTAATATAGCCTAGCGTGTATCAGGTTTTGGTGACAACGGTTCATATTTTCGTCCGATTTCATATTTTGCCGAACATGGTCTTTCAAATTGGAAAAACTGTGCAAAAGCTCGGCTTATGGAACGAAAGTTCTGCCACAAGCCAACTAAGTAAAATCCGATTTTAGGTAAATGGAGCACCAAGGACGCAAAGTTAGGCCGATTTGTAAAAAATTGGTGACAACGGTTCATATTTTCGTCCGATTTTAGATAAGTGGTGCACTGAACTCCTAATGTGTGTTCGTTTAACACGAAATTTTTCATAACGTTCTGAAGTTAGTGTAGCCTACTTATCACTTTACTTACTGGTTTACTTTTATTTTTATGACGTAAAAAGTGTTCAAAGTACAAACAATAACTCGCTTATGTACGCCACTATATATGTTGATCTGATTTTATGGATATCTCTTTTGATTTACACGAAATTGTGCATAACGTATTGAATTGAGTCTAGACAGATGTGTGCCAAGTTTCCAGACTTTCATATAGCCCTTATAAATAATTTTGTTCGATTTCATACAAATGTCAACCGAAATAACCTGAAATTTTGAATGAATTTCAGAACGACATGTCTATAGAATGAAAAAATATAGAACATCGTCAACCAGGGTCCAGATTTAATCCGATCATGGAAGTGCACAAGATTGTTATTTGTTAAACGGCCAATTTTTATCAAACCATTCCGGTTCATTTGTTGATCTGACCTCGTATTTCCATTTAATTTGCTTTCATTGAAATTCTCCAATGTTCTTCGCACCACATAAAAAAAGAACAAAATATATCATGTTGGTCATTTACATAACACGGATGACAAAATTGATGGATTTGAATAGGAATTTAATTGGCTAAATATAATGGAAACACATCCATTTTTTCGTTAAGCATCTGTGGCCTGTTGACGCCACCAAAAAGGACAAAATAAAACATCTTAAACGGCCAAAACAAAACCCATAAAACCTAGACTAACAAACACATTTTTTTAATTCTATTCACCAATTAATTCACTAAATTTAATGGAAAAATATTCCACTAGAAAAAATAGCAACCACTGCCGTTAGACACAGCAGACAATTAAGTCAACATGGGGGTTTTTATATCAAATTAATATTTGTTATAGCAATTAAAATTGCCGCATGACATATTTTTTTCTACAAAAACGAAAATAATTTATGTTTATTTATTAAATTGCAGTTTGATGAAAAAAAAAACAGAATCCTTTATAAATTTACATTTGATCTTTGTGGCCATGATGATGAGTGTGACCGCCACGTCCACGTCCAGAATGCAAAAATTCGTGTAAAGCATGTTTACCGAATGCCAATGTCTGACCCTTGCTGTAACGTTCACGTATCCTCTGACAGCGTGGAGTATTAACTTGCGCCTCAGCCGGACATCCCGAGACCATTTCACCGAACATACAATGATGCAATTCCATGGGGGCACTACTACATTTGCCAGCTACTTTGGTGTCCATATTCTTAATTTTGGCCAAACACTTGTCCAAATAGCCTTCCAAAACGCTTTGTTGTTTGGCACTGTCCTCTGACATGTGTTGTTTGAAGCTGGCAATAACAGCATCGCGGTTAATCTCACCATTATCGTCCAATAAGTTAAGGCTTTTGGCAACGCATTCACTTTCGCAAATAATCAAATCCTTGATTTTCGACATATATTCACAATTGAAGGGATCGAAATTTTCAACATCGGCTGGAAATAAATAAAAAATAATATATATTAAGAATAAATTAATAAATTTAAGAAACATATTAATAATGGGGACTATATTAAAACATTGACTTGTATTAAAAATTCTCTGTGAAGAAATCGTTTTCACACCAAAGTCCCATATTATAATGCTAATATAGTCACTTCGGTTGGAAAATGCTCCTAGGACCATATACACACCTATAAAGCGAATAGACTTTTTTATTAGGGCAATACCCAAAGATCGGCCGGTATTTATGTTTCTTTGGACCAACTTCGTTGCAGACAATTTGGATTCGATTTTAAAACATCCGTCTGTCTGCCTGGCTGGCCGGTGCACACAATAACTCTCGAATGAAGAAACCGATTTCATCCAAATATTGCACATGGTAATATTTCAAATCCAAAGACCGGTGGGTACCGTCCACTCCTTACCTCCCCCACAATTGGTCAAAATTAAAAAAAAAAACCGTAAGTAAAGCAATAAAGTCGACCTGGGCCGACTATATGATACCCTTCACCACTTTATTCTACATATGTATCCGAAAAGACGTCGCTTTTTTGAATTTTATGTGATTTTTATGTCTTTCTGGAAGCTATTTGGGCAAGTTTAGAGTCGTTTGAGCACAGTGGGACAGATTTGTGTAAATCGATTTAAAGCAAACTTGACACACTCTATTCGGTATGCTGCACTGTTTAAAATTTAATCTCAATCAGACCCCTATTGATTATTTGGTGTACAATTAACATAAAGAAGTCGAAATTATATATATATATATATATATATATATCAGAACCTAATTGAAGCAAACTTGCCACAGATTAATTTACATTAATTTCAGTACGTTGTGTCAATCGGCCAAGCTGTGGATCTTTAGTGCACAATTTACTTAAAGTCGGACGAAAATATAAATACGAGGTGTACTCATCATTGTAGACTTAATTCAATACGCTATGCCAAAATTCGTGCAAATCGAATGATTTTCAGAGACTTTGGTGCACCATTTACCTAAAATCGGACGAAACTATGTATGGAAGTTATATCTAAAACTGAACCGATTTTCACGAAACTTAGCACACGTCATTTTAGACTTAATTCAATACGCAATGCCAAAATTCGTGCAAATCAAATGATTTTCAGGGCGAAACTTTATATGGGAGCTATATCTAAATCTGAACCGATTTTCCCGAAACTTAACACACATCATTCTAGACCTAATTCAGTAGGCTATACCAAATTTCGTGCAAATCGAAAGATATATAGAGACATTGGTAGACCATTTACCTAAAATGGGGCGAAACTATATATGGGAGCTATTTGTAAATCTAAACCGATTTTCACGAAACTTAGTTCCCACCATTCTAGACTTAATTCAATACGCTATGCCAAAATTCGTGCAAATCAAATGATTTTCAGGGACTTTGGTGCGCCGTTTACTTAAAATCGGGCGAAACTATATATGGGAGCTATATCTAAATCTGAACCGATTTTCACGAAACTTAGCACACATCATTCTAGACTTAATTCAGTAGGCTATACCAAATTTCGTGTAGATCAAAAGATATTTAGTGACTTTGGTACCCCATTTTCCTTAAATCGGACGAAAATATATATGGGAGCTATATCTAAATCTGAACTGATTTTTCTCAATTTCAATAGGGTTCGTTCTTGGGCCAAACAAATTAGCTGTGCCAAATTTCTTCCAATTCGAATCATAAATGCGACCTGTACTTTGTTTACAATTTAACATGGACAGACGGACGGACGGGCATGCATAAATCGACTCAGAAAGTGATTCTATGCATATTCTCAAAAGGAACAATGGGTCTATCTCGATTATTTTTGTCTGTTACAAACATATGCACAAAGTAATTCAATCACAATGGTATGGAATGTTGATGCCAAATATGCACATCGTAATATTTCTTTCAAATTTAATTCAAGTTGGAAGATAGGACTTATCGGTCCATTCCTTCTAGTACCTCCCCATCGAAGGGTCAATTTATTTTAAACTTGTACATCGCATAACAACCGATCCGGATTTCTTTAATCCCATAAAACAACAACAACAACAAATTTTGTAAATTATTTTTCTCTTCCTTTAAATCTTCAAATATATATCTGCAAAGTTACAAACCTTAACAAGCTTTGGCATTGATTTATTAGTCCATTGAAAAATTGAAAATCGAGAATGGGGGGTTACCTTAATTCAGTACGTCACATTCGAATCATAAATATTTGAACATTCATTTAATATTGGTCCAATTTTTGCAATAGCGAGGAGTATGACACGCTTTTCCACAGAATTGTGTGTAATTGGGTATTTTGGGTCAATATTGGTCCACCTACGTATAACGGTGACGATATTCGGTATTTTGGGGTTTGTTACCCGAATTGGCTGTAGTTTCGTTGCCATTGAGCTTCGAATCATTTTACGAAACTTTTACCAAAGCACAGCTCGCGATATATGAAATAACTGGGATCATGATGATTCGATTCACAGCAAGTTAAATCCTTTTTCGACATCATCATGTGATGATAATGACTTTCACATTCC